AGATTTAATCATGTTGTTGATATTAGGAGTGTCAGTTAATTTCTTCTTCTTTTCTTTTCATTTCAAGTTCAGGTCTTGCTGAGTTACCCAGGCTGGCCTTCACCTTGCTGTCCTTCTGCTTCAGCCTTCTCAGTTGTGGCATTACAGGCCTGTGCCACTGTGCCTGATGGATTTTAACTCTGATTCTCTTTGTTCCCATTGGAAATTTTCTTAGGCTTTGGAGTTTGAGGTGGCAGTTAACTTCACTGCACTATTTATAAATCAAAGCTGAATGATTCGGTCAAAGAAAACTGTTGAGCCCAACTGTTAGATATATTTGATTAGGTACATATTTTTATAATAAATCCCATTCTCCTACACTCACATATGTGTACAAAGATTGGACAACAAAGCAAGGATAAGGTGATGTAGTATATGATCAGTCGTACCTTTTAGATCATCAGCCAGTTTCTACTTGGTGCTTCAGAAGGCCGATAGAACACTTTGAAACCACATGTGAGAATGAATGGCTCTCAGTGAAAGGGCCCAGCTCTACTCTTTTTGAAGATACATGTGCCATGCTTTTAGATATGAGAACATAAGTAAAGTCTAAATCATACTAGACTTTGTTGAGAATTGTCCTTGTGTAGTAAATCATTCTCCATGTGCTAGTATTACAATGTAGTCTTTACCTTTAGTATTTCTGAGACATTCTTTCTGTACTGAAACAGCATCAAAAATAAGGTATGAATTATTATTTTCCCGGTTTTATTTTATCATTCATGCCATAGAAATACTCCCTGACCTGTAATACTGTGGCTTCTGAGGATTTGGGAGTTGATTTTGCGTGGGACTAGAAGCTCCATCTATATAAATGTTTACTCAGAGTACACTCAAAGTATAAATGCTTTTAGGTGGAGTTTGTGAGAAACACATTAAAAGAAAGTCTTGCTGGGCACAGTGGCACATGTTTATAATCTCGTAGACTCAGGAGGATCCCAAGTTTGAGGGCAACCTCAGCAATTTAGGGAGGCCCTGAGCAACTTAGTAAGAGCCTGTCTCAAAATAAAAAATAAAAGGTGGTAGAAATGTAGATCAGTGATAAAGTGTCCATGTGTTCAATCTCCTATGCCCCTCCCACAAAAATAAAAAGGAATCCTTAAAACTTCAAAACAATCTTATGTCACAGTAGTCCTTGCACCATGAAGTCTCTGATGTATCCAATAGCTGTGGCAGACTTTTCTGTGATTGGCTCCCCCATACCTCTGGTCTGTGTCCCAGAGTGCTCCTTGCTCTCTCTTCCTTATTTTTCTCCCCAGCCCTTTTTTGTATTTTACCTAGAGACAGGGTCTCACCGAATTGCTTAGGGCCTTGCTGTTGCTGAGGCTGGCTTTGAACTCGAAATTCTCCTGCCTCAGCCTCCTGAGCTTCTGGAATTATAGGCGTGTGCCACCACACCTGGCTTTCAAACTATTCTTTTTTT